AGCCTTAGAATTATGAATTGATTTCGTTAATAGTCCGAAAAACTTTTCTTTTAATGTTTAGCTATTTTTAGAGCCTGTTTAGCTATTTTTAGAGCCTGTTTAGCTATTTAGAAATTTTTAGAGCCCCTTATGAAATCAAATTTTTTGCGATCCAGTGTTTCTCATATCCTGTCAGTGGCTTCAAATCGCATACAGTTCGCATTTTGAATACTATTTTCATTGTATTTTGCAAGTGCAACAATGGTTTTAACAGTTACCTTTGCAGTTGTCTGATTCTCTGGGCAAATCGAGAGGTCGTTTGAACAGGAGATGTCTATTTGTTCAGTTGGAAACGTAGTTGTTTCCGTAATGAGTCGCTTCTGGGTGTCATCATTTGTTTTGTCGTGCCACTGATGAATACTTACACCACCTTAAAATTTTCATAATATTGGTACTTTCATTTTAGACCATAACAATAAAGTGACACTGCGGTACACTTAACAAACGAAGAGAATAATTTTTCGCGTGGCAAATTATGTGAAGAATTTTCTTGGTTCGTAAAGATACCTGCCGAAGAAAGGCACTTCTTGAACTGTAAAATTGGTGGATAAAAAGTAAGACTGTTTGCTCGATTGCTCATAACTGTATTCTTCACATATTGATGAATTCGAGGAAAATGAAGCGCATGAAGACTTAGTGGTTTTATAGAATAATCAGTTGATATTAAAACTCTTTGCCTAGCTTTTCAAGATGCGTAAATTTGGTCAATCTTAAAAGAATTATAAAAATTTAACGGATTTATAAATGACCATGCTATCTCACCATCATATGGAAATTCAAACTGTTGAGACGGTTGATTTATTCCATTCCTGAAAAATTCATATATTGCATCTTCTTGCAGTTTCTTTCTTACAGAAATCCTCTAAAATGGTCGTGATAATTAACTGTAATGTCATTTTTGAGTATTGTGACTCCAAGCGAATATTTTTTCACGAAACTTTTTATACTTTGTCAAGATTTGCTCAATATATACAAGTGAACAGTGATTACTCGTGTCTATGCGCTTTTCCTCCATCAGTTGTCTTTGCCACAAAACAACCCTCAGGTCGTTGGATAGCCATCATCTTATGCCCGCATCGATGCCGTCCATTTTTACCGCTACAACGGCAATAAATCGCCAGTCCACCTTTATGTTTACGTATATTTTCGTGCATACGCAGCCATTTATTCTGCTCAATGTACTGATCCAGTTGCTCTCTTGTCATGAACAACTTGACATGATTGTATCTGAAACTGCTTCGCTCAATCTTTACGTGAATAAATATGTGACCTTTGACACTGTCCAAATTTGCCAGTTGTAAGCAAATATTATTACAGTCGAAATGATAAAGAGACTGGTTCTCACCGCGCCTTACATTTCGTTGCTCTTCTCAACAAAGCGATGCCCATTTCCCCAGGATACTTTTTGGATTCACTTTGTAAACCTCCAACTTTTTTACTGAAATACGAAACAGCTAAGTTTAATGCTTCATTACTTATTCACTATCACAGGAATGAAATCACTCGAAGTGAGAACTTTCAAACAGAAAGAAAGCAATAGGTATTAGACGTATCTGTGGCGTAAATGAACGAACATGACCGTAGCAAATTAGCCCGATTTCAAGCACATCAGAANACATGTTTACAAGACATCAAAGCAATTTTTCATGAGAATTGAAAATGTCACTGAAGTAAAAGTATCAGTTGCAGTAATATTAATATGTGTGAAAATATATCAGTATCATTGAAATGCGAAATTTTTGAGGGCACTCTAGCAACACAAAAAAGTTGAAAAGCAGGCTTTAAAGTGGATATACTGGAGGATTAAGATATGCATTATACCTTTACATTAACTCTATTTTTGCCTCTCTCGCATTGAAACTTTCTATCATGAACGAGATTCAAATTAATTTTTCATCCTTCTCTTGGGCGTTTTCTCATGATGATAATTCAGTGAAACTGGAAAAGTTATCTTGGTTCTCTTATGACGTGAAATTAGTAATTATACTATTATGACAGTATTAATAATAATAAATAATATTAGCAACAAAAGGATTAATAGTAATAAATCGTAATGGTATCATCAGGCTATCGATTTCATTTCGATAAATATGTAAAAAATAATGCTAACAATAGTAATAGTAATAACAACGATAATGGAACAAATGTTACGTTATATTATTACTATCACTTTAACCATTGTTATCAATACCTTATGTATTATTACCACTATTTGATCATTATTATTAATGTTATCATCATTGCTGCCTTTTCTGAAATCAATTTCTTAAGATGCAAAGCTCGGATCGTAAGAAAACCAAAGTAAGCTTTCCNTCGTGATTTTGATATAATGTGATAAAAAAATGAGACTGAATATAAATGAGAACGCAATAAACTAGAAACATCATCTAAATGGCATTTGCAATGAATATATCTTTTGTGCTGTTCAAGTATAATGCAACGTATGATTTACGATTGATGTATAGACTCATTCGTTACCTTGCAGCAATCTTTAGGTTCAATATAATCAGCTAGATAGATGATAATCAATCAGCAGATATACCTTACAAATTCACCCCTCCAGGAACATTGATAAACAACTCTCCGGTATTAACACCATCAACTGATCGCACAGCTTTCGACTGCAGTGATCAACAAAACTGTTTATTACAGATTTGCCTTGAAAACACATTGGAACATTTCCTATACATTTTGACTCTTTTCTGTTTGAATCAGGTGGAATGCAGCAAATCATGTTTTAGGCTGTTTGACGGAAGAGGCTGTTTTATCCTGCAAAGATCCTTGGCCTATAAATGGGTGACCTTTCGAAGGGCTTCTGCTTTGCTGACCAAAGTAACTTCTGCTTGCCTCCGCCTTTTTTGATAATCTTTCCTCATCAACAGTTCCGATCAGATAGTCAGTTTCACCAGTAACGACGAAAACTCATCCGAGGATGCACATTAGCAGCACAAGTCGCATCACTGAAAAAGAATCTGAAACATGATGGTTTAGATTTGTTTGGTGGAAGTATAGTCATTCCACGAAAGTCGCTCTGACTGCATCAGAACTGCACAATAGGACTTGAAGATTATCAAGATTTGAATAGGCAACTTGCGTCTTATCAATTTTGTCGAGTTGTGGCAACTCGTTTTCTGCACACTGCTTCCATTTTAGTCAAAATTTGCATTAAGTGCGAATGACGGGAATGAATAGAGCCAGGATTCTGTGGCGAATTACAAATGAGAGTGATTCAGTGATGCATTTGAAGTGAATGAGAAAATTATCACGACATAATAAAGCAGTGATGCAATCAGTAAAACGAGGATTGAGAGTGGTGAGGCATCATGAGATACAGATGTAAAACATGAAAAGAGAACGTCAATAATGAACAGAATGCAGACGAACAGTTTCTGGTGAGCGTAGCAATCCAGAAGGTATGCACGCATTACGTATGTTCCATGCACATCTCTTCTCCCATAGAATGTACGTGATTTTTATGTCTAATTTTCATGATGTTTCATTACTCTCATACCTTACGTTACCCACTACATTACAGTTTCATTATGTAGTACTGATTTTCTCATTCACTTCAACCGTATCACCGATTTGCTCTCATTCATAATTCTCCGAAGAATCTCTACTCTATTCATTTCTTGAGCTTACAGTTTTATGTCATTTAGCTCTTCGATGTTCTTGAAGATAAGCGAGCGATTTCGCATATCACGACGAAGTTATCGCCAGACAACTACTAACAATAAGGATTTTATGTATGATGATAGAATGTCCATGAATTATTTTCTAAATCAACTGGATATTCTCACGTGTTGGGATAAATTTATTGATGGCTTATGTTTCTTAGCAGTTATCGTCCTGTTTTTGATGTTTACAAAGATTTTTTCATGTTGTTTGTCTTACAATACTTTAAAGTGACAAAAAAAAGCTGTCAGTCACCAACTCTACTCTCCAAGCCCTGGACTGATGCTGGTTTTCCTTTTGTTGTTTATAATAACTTGCAATGATGCGCGGATCTACCACATGTTATCACTTGATCGCACCATCAATTCAACACTCCTTTCGTCCACCGAGTTGCATGCAACAAGTGAACATAGCTATGTAAATCAAGACGTCAGTATCAGTTGCATTCCAATAAACGCTCTTGATAAACTATTCGAACAATGAACAGCACTTTTACGATAACCATTTTATTATAATAACTGACTTAAAATACAAAGCTGTGTTTATTAAGTCATTGAAGATTGAGGAGAGGCACGCACGTGAAATAATATTTTGAAAAAAATCATATACTATATTCGCTGGATGAAAATTGCAAACGAAGAAATCATATGAACGGAATGATTAAAGACCATAGGATATGTGAATGTACAACTCATATCAGCCATAATAAAACGATCGAATTGCTACAACAACAGGGCATAAAAACGGCAAATAAACCACATCTACATTTTATTCATTCACTTATGATTTTATTTTCTCTCATATCTATTTGATCATATTAATGATACCAAAATCTATCCACTATTTGGCTAGTTGAGTGCAAATATATCAAATAGCAATCTAAGTCTTTGGAAACATTAAAAACTGATACCAGATCAATCGATAGCCTACGGGATGTGAATAATTCACTTACGATTCAGTAATTGAATCGAATAACTGCAAGTAATTCAATAATTCACTTGTTAAAGATTACAGTTGATTGTCACATGCAGAATTACATTTATTCGAATGAAATGAAAATTTGATTGGAAATTGGATTGAAATCCTCGAGGAACGCGAGCAGAAAACAATTATTCCAAGAAATTACATTGTCATACACAAAAATCTACACTGACTGCCGAACGACTACTCAAACTCACCGAAAAAAAAGAACGTCATCAATTTATTACTCAATGATCAATAAATAAATCTACAATAAAACCGTTTATTAAAACGTATTTTCAAGCAATCAGATAAAATCAAGAAAAAAATGAAACTGATTGATTGGGCGATGAACCTTACAAATGCTCTTTTCTTACTATCACACGAACTTTACTTATTTCACAAGTACTTTTGAATATTTCAACAAGAACAAAAAACAACAATCAGAATTGAGAACGAGAAATAAAGTCACAAATCTTCAACACAAATACTACCACCAACAATAACTGATGCAACATCACAATTGATGATAACTGAATGAACGTAAATGTACGGCAATAATGTGATCGTTTGGAGCAAATCTGTTCGTTTCCTGTTTTAATTCAATAATTTCGCTTTAATTCAATGAATCTCGATAGTGATGAATCGTTATTCGATAGCAATATTCGTTCGTGCATCTTTCTAAAAAATACACAAATAATCAACCAACCGCTTCAGTTGAACGATTCATGATAATAAATAAGTTTTTGAAAAACACTCTAGTGATAATGCAATAATATTTAATACATTTTCATTGAATCTCGAACTAAGGTCAGGCGTTGAGAATGAGATAATTTATCCATTAGTGACGTGACAGACAGTGTTAATCACTATTAAACAAATGAGAAATTGCATCGAATGAACGAGGTGATTTCAAATATAAACTATAAAGTTAAATGTGAAAATGAGCTAAAACAAGCGAACAACATACGTTATAATGAGCCGTATCGTTTTTATCGCTCATATTCATACGCATATTGCCATCCAAATCCATTTCGACGCAATCAGATACGTGAGTGGAACCCATTGACGGACACTGCACTCCTCCGAGCATACCACCATCCGATGCGTTTATATCACGCCATGGATACGACTGACAATTATTAGGACGCTGAAACGCAATTCACTTTGTAAGTATTCAGAAGTGATCAATCAAAATAATGCAAACGTATCAACGATACACATTCGGTTTGCCAACCAAAAGTATCAGAGCTGCTAAGATGAACGTGAAAACTTTTTTGTCGCAGACATGGAAGGTTTTCAAAACGCGAAAGAATCAAATAGTTTGTTGTAATGAACAAGCTCATTCATTTATTTTTCCGATGGTTTCTATCCCACATTCCTTCTCATCCGGCTCGAGAAGGAATGTGGGATAGAAACGATTTAAAGATGAGAGTGATATTCTTATAAAAAATGGAAACGGGAAAGGCTTAATCGATTTTCACACATTTCAGATACATTCAAACGAGAAACATTCAACAGATGAAACAATGTTCTGATTCAATATGATAATATCAGCGATTCGTTTCCAACGACATATCCATTCAAAAACAAAATATCGCCACTTATCTGCCAACGATCAATCGTTTCACCCATTCAGTATACTTTAGAAAGTCATCATTTTACATACTTTCTCTCAAAACAATCACCAGCAAGGACGAAATGGGAGATTTTGACGACGAATGTTTCAGTGCGAGAATGTCGGTTAGGTGCCAAAGATCCCAAAAGGTCTCCTTCTATCGAAGCGATAGGAGTAACTCATGCGAATCATCCAGGCAAAACATCTTACATCTTACAATAGCAAACAGCTCTTGCAAACAAATCATACAAATAAGTAGCAATCAAAAGCATTGAACATATCATAACCTGAAAATGCTGTTGATTAGTGATATTACTACGATGACCTGAACGTTTGTTATGTTTGTTATTGTATTTCATTACAAGAAAAACAATACAACCAATAAACGAAATAATGATGCCCGCATATGTGAGAGTTCGAAAATCAGATACACAATCTGCCATTCGATGCATGTCATCGGCCACCTTTAAACTCAGTTAGGTTACAGTTTAACCATTTGAACAAAGTGAGGTTAACGACCAATGTTGAATACCGAACATATAAACCTTACACTGACAATGAAAGGTGATAGAATTGAGGCTCCTATGAAGGGAAACGCTTCAAGATATCTCAACACTACAAATTTACGAAGCGTCAATCAACAGCGGATGATAAACACGAATAGTGCTTTCTATAAACAGTCTTTGCATTGCTAAAAAGTTCTAAACAGATCAATTCATAACGAATATTCACAATTTCGCTCAGTTTGAATTCCGCAAATAAATTATTAAGGAGCAAACAATGGCCAAAGTTTCACGAGCATTGGCAAAATCAATGATTACTGAATTTGTCATTGAAAAAGTGCAAAAAATAACGAAGTAACCTGCATCAACTTCGGAATCCCTTTGAAGAAAATGACGTTCATATCCGGATAACCATTTTGGGCAGCCATAGTAAGATCGCCAAAATGTTTTCGTCGCAATTTAGACGATAAGAAGGCACCTTGTGAAATAAGATATCGTTTGAGTAGCACTGAAATTTCCAAAAGTAACTCAGTGAAGCATTTGTACATAGTTAACAGATAAGATCGAAGCATTCGTGCGATTGAGATGAGAACAGCAATATTACCACCAAACAGATAACTGTTCATATCTAACAATTGTGGGAACAGTCCCACGAAATACTATTTGTTTCGTGGGCCACGAGGGACACTCAGATTCAATTCGAGTTTATAAGGGTATAAATGAATATAGCGCTTACAAGGAAGGATGCTCGAATGAGAATTTGCAAACCACTTCAGTCAATAATTCAAAGAAGGGTCGACTTCGTAGCAAAGAGAAAAGCTTAAGCCTATTTCGTGTCGGTGAACAGAGGGCTTTGAGTACAGTGGGACGGATGCATCTGCATCAATTACAATGTCTGAAAGCTGTCAAATAACGCATAGTTCCTTGCAATTAGAAAAAAAGCAGACCAAAAGTGGCTAAAATGGGGTGAAACGACTGAAATAAACGAAGGTGCTAGACTTGGTGGAGCTGAAGCTCAAATTCAGGTGGAACCACCATATTTTCAACTTCTCTGTTCGTTGAAAAACGGACAAATGTCAGATTAAATTATTTACGGTCCTATACATTCATTAAAATTAAAAACTTCTCCAGCTACAATTCATCAGCTATGCATGAAAAGATGCATGGAAATAAAACGAGCAGCTGACATGAAAAAAATATGTGTTGCAAGTGCTACTCATGACGATGTTGTCGAGTCTAGAAAGACGTAGTCTTTGAAGGAACGCAGTATAAAGAAATTGATAACATATCAAATGGATTGAGATCAACAAATCATTATCGTAATTTCCAATTCGCATTGCCTGCATCAAATGAATTTTAGCTGAGCCCTTCGAGTACTTCACGGCCTACCGTTTAAGATAATGAATTATTACAGAGTGATGCACGGAAACCGTTGGCAGAAAAAAAAACAAAGAATTGAAGTTGAAGAATGGCCTGAGGAGGATGTGCCGCTGTTCCATTTATGCAAATGAATGGTGCAGGAGCAGAATGCCTAAGAGGAGGTCAATATGAGGCATTTTGCATTCAGCACTGTATATAGAGCTTCGGTAAGCGTGCTAGTTCCTCACAGCTAATGAAGCATAGTAGTTAGTATCGCTGTCGCATGCATGACTATTTTGTATGCCATTTCAACCCGACGTGCCTTCGAATACATATGGGCTTGTCGTTTCCGAGGTAACGTTTCGACGGTTTCCATTCCAAAAGAACAACAAAGAATTTGTATTTGGCCGACAGACGTGATAAAAAAAACAAGTAATTGATGTCACTCACTATCGGGTAACGTATGAGATCTGATGGAATGGTGCACACTTATAAAAGTAATATATCAGTGCCAAATGAGAGCATTCTCAGTTGATGTACACAAGAAGATGAAAAACAATGTGCTACGATTGCAGCATGTATGACAAGTGATTCAGATAACTGATGATAGCACCGATAACCGCCAACTGTAACAAGCAGAAAACGAATATGAGATATATTTCTAAAATACATATGCAGTATATTTGTATGAACGTTTGAATCAAATTTATATTACACTGATCATTCATCATAACGGTTTTGTGCTCTCAGCGTTAACGCACTGATCTGCTCTATAGATAGACGTAGTCCTCCAAGAAGAGCATCTGTATGATTCATATCATAATAATTCTATTCAATATAACACTAAGTCGATAAAGCATTATCAACATTCAGAGCTTAAACATGATGTCCTTCAAATTTAAATTTTGAGTGCTCCTAAGAGGAGAGCTCCTAAAAAATCAAAACTGTGTGAGATATTAGTCGATCCCAAGAATTCAAAATTTAGCTCCAGATATTTTTCCGGAAAGAATTAAGTAAAGGTGGGTGGCACAACAGCGGAAGAAGCAAGTGCATTTTATAGATCTGTTGATGCACTCTATTGATTGACAACGGACGTCTTCAGCATTGATAGGATTCTGATCCACGTTTAAACTTCTATTGTTGGCGTACTCTTCTGCTGAGCTTGAACAAAGTTGCTTATCGTCTCTTGTCAACCACCTTTACTATATCGAGCTTGAGCCAGACTACGATTTGGCTTATATCTATTTACGTGATTCATAACTGTAATAATAACAACAACAAGGACAAAAGTTCTAAATGCAGTGCTCCTTTCGATGATACAATTTCAAATAGTTGATCAGAGATCAAAACTGTTTACCCGATATGTTCTCAATACAGCAGAATTTCGCAATAGGCTTCTGCATGCAAAAAGCGTCAATTCATGTTCCATACTTACAATGCTTTAAACACGCACGTGTACACCTACGCACGCTCGCATCTGAAGCATGATACTCGACATTCTGAAAGCCTCTGCGTCTCTGTTCTCTCCTATGTTCCCGTTCTGTTTTCTTTCTTACTAGTCATCGCCATCCTATTTCGACAATTTTCGGCTTGATGACGAAAGCAAACACCCCACCTCTCTATCAATTTTTAGCCAC